TTTCAGGAAACGCTTCATCAACAGGTGATTAAGAACTGTTTTGTCACCGAAGTCCTCATGACAGGAAGAAATAGCTGCAGCATAAGTTTTAATTGTGCTGAACGCTAGATCTCTGTCCATCAGCTGCTGCAGAAAAGACACCATGCCATCTAGTGGCCATGAGATGGCCTTCACGCCTTTCTCTGCACACCAGCACTGAAAACCTGTCCACTTGATGTGTACAGCGTTGTGGTGGAAGCAGCTCGTGCGCCCTGAACGTACGCACCACATGCTGTAGGAGGCCCAGCGGACAGACCCAAAGATGCTGACCTATTTCTGGGTAACTCCTGATCGCTCTTCCTGCCTGGAGGAGAGTGCCCCCCCCCCCCCCAGCAGTTTCCATGTCCGACCCGATATCAGTTGCTGCAAATTCGGGAACCACAGAGCGCATATGCGTTCGGGAGCTACGAGGATGACTGGCGGTTCTTCCTCCCATACCCGGTCCAGGGTCCGTGAAATTGACAGGACTGGAGGGAACGCATAAAGGAACATTTTTGGCCACGGGCTGTGAGCGAAGGCATCCACTCCTAACGGTGAGTCATCTCATGGGCTCAGTGAGAACCATAATTGACACTGGGCGTTCTCCCGTGTGGCGGACAGATCCACTGCTGCTCAGTCAAACCTGCTCCAAATCCGAGAAATCAGCTCGGGATGGAGGCTCCAGTCTCTGTGGCGGGGACCGCTCCTCGACATGATATCCGCTCGCTTCAGGACGCTGGGAATGTACACTGCACTGATGGGGAGCAGGTTTCTGTGTGCCCAACACAACAGCTGTTTCGCGATGCGTAACAGTTGGGCTGAGCGCACGTCTCCCTGACGGTTTATGTAAACTGCCGTCACCTTGTTGTCTGTGTGGATCAGAAAATGCTGATCCTGCAGCAGGGGCAAAATGCTGAGTCACGTTTCAGACCATAAAAACATTCTAGCACATTTATGTGAAGCGACATGTGGTCCAGCCACTGTGCGCCCACAGTTTGGGACAGACACATTCCTCCCAGCTTGACAGGAACGCGTCTGTGAAAACTGAGAGGTGTGACGTAGGCCTGCTAATGGGAACTCCCTCTGACAGAATGAGAGGGTTTCCCCAGTGATTCAGATCGGTTCTCATGGAGGGGGGCACAAAGATAATCCACCTCTTCTGGCGCACAGGATCTGTGCGCAGGCAGGCGAACCATCTCTGAAGGCGTCTCATGTGAAGTAGGCCCAGCGGAACCACGATGTGGGCCGCTGACATCGTCCCAGGAGTCGCATAACAAGCAAACTGTCACTATGCTGCAGGGTTTGACACGGCGGAGCTGGGTTTGACACAGAGGAGCTGAGCTGACAGAGCTTCGGCTCTCAGCTGTGATAAACGGGCTCTCATTGTAGTTGAGTTTAGCTCCATTTCCAGATAAACAATCATCTGGGACAGACGAACAGAGGTTTTTTCCCAGTTTATAGAAACCCCAGGTTTAGCAGGTGTAACACTAGCGTTTTGGTCTGTGCGACTGTTTTCTAACTGGACCAAGCTAATAAGAGCAGATCGTCCAGATAAAAAGATTTCTCATTCCTGCCATGTGTATCGACTGCAGAGCCGTCTCCAAGCATTTCGAGAATGTGCGTGGGGTGTTTCAGAATTATGGAAATTTGAAAATATGCGCTCTTCTGATCTATGGAGGGGAAAACCAGTCGTTCTGGTGAAGTTCTCCAGCAGCTGTTTGTCAGCATGTGGAATTGTCTCCCCATGATTGAATTGCTGAACATGAACAGGTCGAGAATGGGTCTCATCCCTCCGGTTTTTTATCAGAACCAGGAAGTAGTGGGAGGAAAAAAAAAACATTTTCCTCTCCGTTGGGAACTCTGGAAATCACGTTTTTCATCAGAAATTCCTGACCTTCTGACGAGAGATGAGCTCTGTTCTGGAGAAGACAGAACCGTCTCTAGAATCCCTCTGAAAGGTGGGGTTGAGCTGCGAACTGCAGCGTGTAATCCCTTCCGATCAGACGGTCCGTCCATCTGTCCAGGGAACACACTCGTTGCCACTCTGAGTAACGCTCGGAGAGCGGGCATGCATTTGTGTTGTGTCATGTTTCTCATGAACCTCAACCAGACTAAAAATCCTTACTGCCATCACTCGCTCCGGAGATTCTCCGGGGGGAACCCAAGGAGGGTCCGACAGAAAAAAGGGTTGTATGTGTGCCCATGTGCTGAGCCCAGGCTGCGGTCTCACATAGAGCTAAGATGAGCCGGCGCGCACTGAGAGAAGGCGTGAGCGCTTTCTGGGTGAGACGCCATTTCGGTGGAGGCTGCAGCTGTCGTGGAGAAACATGTTTACTCCCGCTGCGCTGTGAGTGGGCAGAAAACAGCAGAAATTAAAAATGGGCTCTGGCTGAAAAACAAGAGATTTTACCAGATTCGGTCTGCTGACAAAACATCATTTTAGCTGACGTGGCAGGCGAGTGTTTGTGATATTTACTGAACTGCGATGCCATTTAAAACGCTGTTTAAAGGTTACTGGCTCATTCTGTGTGGGGAATGTGTGAAGAGAGGCAGCTGTGAGCTCAGCTGATCTGACAGTCTCAGATGAAATCTTTACTTTCAGAGGTGTTTTTGTTTTATATCAAAAACATACATCATCAAAAAACACATACCTTCCCCTCAAGGGTCTGTTACCTGGTGGAAGGGGCCAGCGGAGGAGCGGGGCATGAAGTCGCTGCCGCAGCTGTGGAGCACCTCTGCTGCTGTTGCTGGCCAAGGCGGTCCCTCCAGCAGCCGGAGGGGCGAGAGAAGGACTGTGACGTCACCAGATGGTGTACAGTCTCTGAGACCTCCTCAGACCTCTGCGATTTCTCAGGGATGGTCCTGAAGTTGGCCCCGAACAGAGCCTCTGGGGTGATGGGGCCCTCCAGCAGGTCTTACTGCAGCCTATCGGACAAGGATGGCGCGAGGCGGAGCCAAGTGGTCCTTTGGATCATGGTCATGATCAGCGGCGATGCGGGACAGGCAGACCACAGAGGTGGCTCATGTTTAAGATGACATCAGAAGCTTTACAGAGAGAGCTCTTTGTCTCCTCCAGCAGGTCTGCTTCCTCCAGCCTTTTAGAGATGCTGTAGGCCAGCAGGGCGACATTGTTGTTTGCTGCGGCCGTCTGGAATGAGCACTGGTGAGCTCGGTTGGAGACCTTGTCACCATCTGGTCACGCTTCCCTGGAGGGACAGGTTGCTAGTCCGTCCTGGAAGCTTTTGCCCCGAGTGCCACTGCCAGGCTTGGCTCCGTGGGGGGAGGACCGAGGGAAAACCACCGATCGGTAAAACCCTCCACTCTGGAGATTGAGGCGAAGACAGATGTCTTCAGCTTGCCAGGCCCAGCTGCAGCCTTGTTCCATTGTGACGTCACAGCTGTACAGCAAGGCCAGATGGGGTCAGGGTGACGATCCGGGGCGGAGCCAACCTTGCCGCCAGATCATCCGATCAGGGTGGAGGGAGGCGAGAGACAGAAAGTCCCTTGTGTTAACATCTTCCTGGATTATGCCAGGTAGCTCCGAGAGAAGGGCGCCGACGGCTGGGAGCGGTGTGGTCACCGACGTGAGAAGATCCGAGGTGACTGAGCATCCGCTCGGCCGCTCGGCTTCCATCACTACGCTCTCCAGGAGGGAGGGGGCAGCTCCGCATCGCCTTTCTCTGAGGAATCATTCGATTCACTGTGTGACTCTGCGTCAAAGAAGGCAGTGGCGTTGTCCTGCGCATAGCATCCCGCCACAGAAAAAAAACACTCAGCGGAGCTGCTGTCAACAACGCCTTTTTTGAGGGAATCATCTGATTCACCTCGAGGAAAAAAACACGTTAGAAAAGGCGGTGGCGTCGTCCAGCTAGTAGCGGCCGTCCACAGAAAAACATTCAGCGGGGCTGCTGCTAAAATCGCCTTTTCGAGGAAATCATTCGATTACCGCGAGGAAAAAAAATGTTAGAAGCGGCGATAGCGTCGTCCAGCGGGTAGCGGCCCGCCACGGAAAAGCACTCCTCGGAGCTTACCTTGAACAAGGCTGCTCGTCTCTGCTTCTCCTCGGGGATGAGGAGCTCACCGGGACGGCAGGAGGTTTGCATGGCGGAGACCCAGGCATCCTTAGCAAAGGTTGTGCCAGTCAAAGTTGTACAACTTTTCCTTTTTCGTTCTTCTGACAGTGCTAGCTAGCTGGCTCAAGAAAAAATGGGAGCTGATTACCCGGTCTCACCGTAATTTATACAGACCGGGGATGAGGCCCACACAGTAGGTGGGCGTGGACTAAAGTTTTCAGTGCTGTGCTGCGCGCCTAGGGATAAACCCACTAGCGATAGCCTTAAAAGGCGAAGCCTATGGAAATAGAACTGTCCTTAAATTTAAATTAACTCACCAAGATTTGTTAAAGTTTTACCAAAACAATTCATAGCAGGAATGAAAACCGCATCTAATCATGGAAATAAAGTGTAGTAAATCATTGGTTACTAATCACTTTCTCAATGTAGCCCTCTCCTGCCCGACGCCAGCTGTCCCAGAGAACTCTGTCATGAAGGGAAACAACTTCACCTATGGCAGCAAGGTGACTTTCAGGTATCGTTTCCATCACACAGTACCAGGTGTCACCGTTACAGAAGTAGATGGTAGTATTTTGTGAAGAAAAACATATAAGATTGTTGTTTGTTGCTCCTCAGCTGCAAGAAGGGCTACCTGCCTCAGATACCCTACGAGTTCCAGTGTCTCTCCACCCTCAGATGGAGCGGTACACCACCTGTTTGTTACCCGGTAACCTGTGGGGGGCCGCCAAGGGTGGAACACGCAGACTACACTTTCCACACAAACACTTACCTCTCCACTGTCAACTACACCTGCGTAGAGGGATACAGGTATGGTAATATTTGTTAATTTTATTTATCTGGGAAACTAAAGACCCCATAGTGTGACTGTCTACACTTAGCAGCATGTTGTTTTGAAGACCACAGGGCTCTATGAAGTTGGTTTGTGAAGCGACGGGGGAGTGGAGCTGGCCCACCCCTCGATGTGTGAGCGTCCTGTGCAGCAAGCCTCCAGCGCTAGCAGATGCTGAAATCGTCGTAGAGAACTATGAAGTAGGAAGCAAGGTGCACTATGTCTGCAAAGAAGGGTAAATGTGAATTTGAGTCTACGAAGTTGTTTAGGCATGTCACCTGAAATAATGCTCATTAGGAACTTTGGCTGCTGCATTTGACACATTTGGATTTTCTTTGCACCACTTTTGGTATTCCTTGTGTCAAAATCTTTATCATCCGTGTCATTAGATTGTAAAAACAGATTTTACTGTAACTGTTGGAAACTATTTATGATCTGATATTTGTTTGCTCATCTCTAATGATTTTCTTCACATGTAGCTACACCCTAATTGGCCCTGAGACCAGAGAATGTCTACCAAGTGGTCAATGGAGTGAAGACTTTCTCCAGTGTGTGCCTCGCTCCTGTGGACCGCCACCCACTATCGACCACGCTGTGCCCCATGAGACCCACAAGTTGTTTGGAGACACTGCCAGCTACTACTGCACAGATGGATACACAGCCAGCAACAACTCTAAGCTAATGTGTAATGCTCAGGGTATGTGGGTCCCCCCTGATGGCATGGAGACCCCTCTATGCATTGCCAACTTCTGCTTACGTCCACCTAACCCACCGCATGCCATTTTAGATTCATTCAACAAACCCAAATATGCTAGCAACACAGAAGTGAGCTATAAGTGTGAAGAGGGCTTCATGTTGAACACTACAGCCACACTCAGATGCTTAATGGGAGGGGCATGGGAGCCTTCACCGTTTGAAATAGGCTGTGTGCCGGTGAGGTGTTCCAAACCAGACAGTATTGATCGAGGCTATGTGAGAGGAACAAATTACAGCTTTGGAGCTGTGGTTGCATACAGCTGTGAGACGGGCTACCTGATTCGAGGAGAGAAAAGGAGGACCTGCAAGGCTAGTGGAGAATGGGGAGGAGTTCTGCCTACCTGTGTACCTGTGTCCTGCTCGGCTCCTCCTATACTCATAAATGGTTACATCCAGGTGAGCATTGAAAGCTAACACAAATAAACACATTCTAAATAAATAAACACTTTTTAATCCCTCTTTTGAGTATATAAACAAATCATCTCATATGATTGTCTATTTTTTTTAGGTCAGAGGCCGATACACTTTTAATAACAAGGTGACATATGCCTGTAATGCAGGCTACAGACTAGTTGGTCGACAGGAGCGAGTTTGTCAAGCCAACCGACAATGGTCCAGCAACGACCCTCCCACCTGTGTCCTTTTGACCTGTGACCCTCCTCCAGACGTCCTCCATGGACACTACAGAGGTTCTGACTTCCATGTGGGCCACAAAGTGAAATATCTCTGCGACGAGGGTTATGAGTTGGCTGGGGATGCTGTCTGGACCTGTCTCAAGTATGGAACGTGGGATAAGACAAAGCCTCCACGTTGCTCTCCAGTCAAATGTCCAGAGCCTCCACTAGAGGAGAACCACCTAGTCCTAAAAAGTTTAGACTCTGAATCTGGAACAGTGGAGTTATCCTGTGAGGATGGTTATATCCTGGAGGGGGCTCATATCCTCCGCTGCACCCCTTCTCAGGAGTGGAACAACACTTTTCCAGTCTGTACACAAGTATTCTGTGACCCACCACCTGAAGTTACATTTGGCAGTCTGTCCACAGCCTCTTCTCCATTCTCGTTTAGCTCCATGGTTACCTACACATGCATAGGTGGTTTTACGTTAAGAAAAGAAGCCTCTGTTTCCTGTTTAGCCAGTGGGCAATGGAGTACTCCTTACCCAGAATGTATCCCAGTTGAATGTCCTCAGCCTGTGGAGGTTTCAAATGGTATTGTTGATGTCCAGGGTTTGATGTACCTCAGCAAAGCTCTGTACACTTGCAAGGCTGGATATAATCTAATAGGCAACTCCACTGTCCTCTGTGGAGAGAAGGGAATCTGGATTGGTGGCGTGCCTTCTTGCCGTCCAGTTGAATGCCCCGTCCCTAAACAGATACCCAACGGGAAAGTGGTTTATAGAAAACTCCAGTTTGGTCATAGTGCCACCTACTCCTGTCGTCGTGGTTTCCGCCTACAAGGCCCAGAGAGTATCAGGTGCCTGGCTAACGGAGAATGGGACTCAGAGCCGCCTGCTTGCGTGCAGATTTCCTGCACTCCACCCCAACCAATTGAAAACGGTTTTGTAGAAGGTCAGGATCACAGTTTTGGCATCACTATTTTCTACAGCTGTTTTCCAGGTTTTCAGCTTTTAGGCCATGATCATCTTACTTGCGAGGAGTTTGGCTGGTCCAGTTCTGTTCCTGTGTGTGTGCCATCAGACTGTGGTCTGCCTCCTCATATTGACTTTGGGGATTATGTCAGAGTGCCCAAATCTGATTCCAGAGACTCCATAACATCTTCACCCATAGATTTGAACTTCCTCCATGGGACAGTGATTGAGTACCGTTGTCACCCAGGTCACAACATCAGCAGCCAGACCAGGTTGATGTGTCAGGAGGACGGGGGGTGGAATGGGACAGCCCCATCATGTGTTCCAGCAGAATGTGAGACCCCACCCATTCCAGAGCATGGCTGGGTGAATGTAACTGATACTTCGCTTGGCAGCTCAGTCAGATATTCGTGTGAGGAGGGTTATAAGCTGGTGGGGGAGCCTGTGAGGCAGTGTGTATCAGGTCGACTGTGGACTAGTGATGCCCCAGTTTGTCAACCCATATTCTGTGGCGATCCAGGAACTATCACTAATGGCACAGCTCACAGTGGGGAATTTGTTTACCCTGAAGTTTTGCACTTTGAGTGTAATCCTGGATTTGTTCTGAGGGGTAGTGACACCATCGCCTGCCAGGCAGATGGAAAATGGAATGGTCCAAAGCCACTCTGTGAGCTAGTGTCTTGTGGCCCTCCAGAGGTGCCTAGTGATATAACAATTTTAGGTAGAGATTACAGCTATAATAGTGAAATAGAACTGAGCTGTCAGCCTGGTTTTCATTTAAAAGGGAAGTCTAGAAGTGTTTGTCAGGCTGATGGTACCTGGAGCCAAAAATCCCCTACTTGTGTACCAGTCCTTTGTGGTAAACCTTCCCCCATACCCAATGGCCACATGTTAGGGTTGCAGTTTGGCTATAACAACAAGGTTAAGTATGAATGTGATGAAGGATACAAGCTAAATGGAGATGCCACACTTGCTTGTCAGTCAAATGGACTTTGGGACAAACCCCTACCTCATTGTGACATCATTAGCTGTGACCCACCTGAGGACATCAGTCACGGCTTTGTAAATGGCTCCAGCTTCAACTACAATGATGTAGTAGAGTACGTGTGTTTTGAAGGTTACGAGGTTGTTGGGGATCCCATGCTGCAGTGCTCCTCTCAAGGCTTCTGGGTAGGCTCTGTGCCTCAGTGTCAGCCCTGTGCATGCCCCCCACCTGAAGTTCAGTTTGGTAGGGTTTTGGGGAATGGCCGGGCCTGTGGAAATCAAGTTCAGTTCCAGTGTAACGAAGGCCACAAACTGCTGGGTCCTTCTCAGGCAGTGTGTGAGAAAGGAGGAATGTGGAGCCCAGGGGTGCCTGTGTGTGGCAAAGGGAGGTGCAGTGTTGCCCCACCTGTGATTCTGAACGCCATCTTACAGGGTGGGGTTGCCAAATTTCCAGACACAGTGACATACAGGTGTCAACTCGGCTACCTACTCAAAGGGTCTCCCCACCTCTCTTGTGGACGAGATGGCAGCTGGGGAGGACCCAGATTTCTCTGTGAGCCAGTAAGCTGTGGGAAACCACCTATGGTAGCTCACGCTCAAATGGATGGAGATATTTTCACCTTCCCAAACAAGATCACCTACAGGTAACTAAACAAAGCTCAACAAGTAAGAAACATTATGTTTGGTTGATTATTTATTTGTAGTAACAATGCTTCTTGACAATAAATTTCATACAGTTGGAAAGCCTGTTTATTTCCACTGAAACGGTGCCACATTTGTAAGAAAAATATTTTGGAGGTTGAGTAGCAAAGTTGAGTATATAGCTTACACCCATGAACACCTTGCCAAGGCTTGTCTGCCAATGCCAAAGAACTTATTCTGTTACAGACTCTTGTTTTGGGATTTTGGTACCCCAGTGTTGACAATAGAATGCTTGATTGGCACCTGATTGTCAGCACCTGCGAGCAATCCCATATCTCCACAGACTGGGACCGAATGCTATCCTTTAACAATACACCTCAGAATATATCAACATGAAACGGGAAGTTGTCAACATTGTGGAGAGAGGGAATGTAGAGCATGTGATTTTAATATGCCAGTGATATGAGAGGGAGAGAAGATGCGTGATGGACAAATTAGAAAGATTAGAAGAAACATTCAATGTCATAAATATACTACAAAAATAGCCAGGAAGTAAAAGTACTCAAAAAATTTTGTTAGGTTCTTCAGGAAAACAAAGCCAATTAATAGAATATGATTATAAATGACATACCAGTACACACTAGGGTTGCGATTTATGGCCCGATCCGAGCCCGATCCGAAATGAGGGCTGGGTCAGGCTAAAACTATGTGCTTGATGGGCGGGCCGGGTCGAGTTTCTGTGGTGCAGTTTTAAGGATCATACAGCACAAAGAAAACTCACAATATAAAATTGTGTACTACTATCTACTACTTGTAGAGGAGGAGGCAGTAAGTTTACTATGTTGAGGATGAGGAATGAAAGAAAGTAAAGTGCTATGTATGAAGCCTTCCGGATTGAAGGCGAAACATTTCAGCACAAAAAAAAAAAAAAGAAAGAAACTGTCCTGATGACTTGACTGAAAAATGTTGGATTGTATACCTGGATTATTGAGCATGGACTTTGTTGTTTTCAACCAGTTTGACAAGACTGTCAACAAGGAAGAGGGCCGGCAATGGAGAAAGGGGCATACCAAAGAGATCATCTTATCACAAGCAGAACTGGTTTGTTCCACTTTGGAGCAAGCTGTTGGGGGAAGAATCAGTTTTATTGTGTGTTTCCTTCACTGATGAAGCCTTCCGGATCGAAGGCGAAACGTTTCAGCACACAAAAGAAACTGTCCAGATGACCTGACTGAAAAATGTTAAAGTGCTATTTGTTGTCATCATTGTATGTTCCCATACAATGGCAAAATAGAGTGCAGAAGTTAATCAGACTGTGAAAAGAGAGAGTAGCACTGGTGCATTGCACAACTAATTGCGCATGTGCCCCCCACCCCCGCCCTGCTTTGCTTGGGTTTAGGTTAAATCACTCCATCATCAGCGACAGTGTGACTCAGGTTAATTTTGCACAACTTTCTTTTAGGTCTTAATTAAAACAGCCTTGTTCTATATTTTTCCAAATAATTTTTCTCTAAAAATATTTTTGTTCATCTATATAATAGCCTGTCTTTATAGTTGATTTTTTTTAGGCTATTCATTTTGTATGTTAATATAAAAAATATCCATATGGTGACTTGTTAATAAACAAGAAATTTTATATCTTCTTTACTTTGAAATACATTTTTTAAACTATCATGTCAAATTGATTTGCTTGCAAAAGCAGTAAGAGCTTAATTGAAATAGCATGTCGGGTTTGCTTTGGGTTCAGGCCTCTAATTAGAGTTAATTAGTCAGGTCAGATCAGGCCCGGATACAATGCATATGGGCTCAGGCCGGATCGGATTTTTTAGGCCTGAATGCAAATCTATTACCAAAAACATGCATATTAGGCTGCCTTCAGGCCCAGTCCTTCCTTGCAAAATAGATCTGTGATCTCAGTGGGATTTGCCTGGTTAAATAGAGATTAATTTTAAAAAAAATTGTACATGCCAGATAATGGATAGACATTCTGACCCACACTCCATGCCTGTTGGTGGTAGTAATGCACACCATATGTTGTTTGCCAACTGCCAAAGAAAACCTACGAAGAAGAAAAAGAAGGTCTTTATCCTCCAAGATGAAAATGCTTGCTCCCACAGAGAGTAGTGTATCACAGACTACCTCCAGAGTTTGAGAGTAGAGAGATTGGAATGGCCTGCCTGCAGCCCTAACCTCAGAGGGATCTGTTTGGGTTTGCTGTTCATTCCAGAGTGGCCCACACAACCATGCTGGCTGACTTTGGGACAAATAAATGCTGGTTGAAAAATTGGATACCACCCCACATCAGTGTGTGACCAAGCTAGTGAGAGGCATGGGGATGAGGTGCTAGGCTGTGGCTGTGTATGGTTCTTCCTCATGGTATTGAGGCCCCTGTTTTTCTTTTTACAAATTAATTGCTACATTGCTTTCTTCAGACTTCAATCATCCAATCAAATCAAGAACACCATACAAAAGTCAGTAGTAGAGTAAGCTGTTTGTCATTGCCAGCGAAGATCTGGCAAGTTTTTTGTGAGTGCAACGCACAAGCTCATCTCTGCTGCTCACCAACACCTGCATTTTCCACACAAACGTGGCATCATTTGGGGAAATAACAGACTTTTATTGGCAAAAGACAATGTTACAATAAAGAAAACTTCAACCAAACACATATTTCTATACTATTTGTGCTAGATTTCATTCCTTTTATAGTGTAGGTTAAAGTTAGTTATTATTTTTATTTTTTACAAAAAGGATAGGACGTTATAAAGAACATTGTTATTGTTTTGTAAATCTTATTACTTTTTCTTTTCTGCGTGTCTCCTGCTCGCCAGATGTGAGGATGGATTCGAACCAGCTACAAAGACACATTCTCTGTCCTGCCAGAGTGACGGCAACTGGTCCAAACCCAGCATCCAGTGCCGCCCCATCTCCTGTCGATTACCCAGTAACGTCTCCACCCCACATTTGGTGATCAGCGGGAAGGAGCTCACTCCTGTTGGGGGCACCATCAACCTCTCATGCCTTCCTGGCTTCTACATGCAGGGTTCAGCTCTAGCCGAGTGCCAGGTAGGAAACATGGTGGTTAATGATTTGTCTCTTTGCTGATCCCGTTTAGTTTGTGAACTCATTTCTAACCTTATGCAGAGAACAAAAGATGTATGGGGAAAACGTATTTTGAATTATTTTAATTTTTTGTGAATGGCAAATTAACATTCACTGAAACTCTTTGCTCGTTAACTGTTATTCATTATTGTTTAGTCAAATAAACCCATGAAAGACTTCCCCCGTGTCAGGAGAAGCCTTGAGTAAACGTTTACTTTAATGACTTGTTTTATGTGCTATGTGATAAGATGGGTGGAAGCTGGGCTCCGGACATTTTGTCAGTTTCCTGCGAGGTGGTGGTGTGTGAGAAACCTGCTCCTCTTCTTCACGGCATCATGGAGGGCGACAGCTACAACTATGGAGACTTTGTCCTGTACTCCTGCCTGCCTGGATTTGAGAGGAAGGTGCTCATCAGGATCAGTTTGGCACCTAAACACAACTCAGTGAACACAGCATACAAAACAAAGGACCACAGTCAAATTAACTTTTAGGTTTAATAATAGTTAGGATGCTTTGTTACAGTTGTGGCCTGAAGTTTACATACACATCATTCATGAATGTTTCATTGAATTTGGGCTTTTATTTTGAATGCATCTTTTTCCAAGGTGGAATGATAACATGCCAATACAATTTAAATTTTCTTTCAAAACAATAGTTTGAATTTATTGTGGATTTTCTCTAATCCACAAAGAGATGAAAACAGAACAAGCCGGCTCAACTACATATTATATATCATACTGCATTCTCACTAATAAATGGTTAAAGGTCCCTTAGCATATTGCATCTTGACCTCACACTTCTTGCATTCATCTGCAAATCTCTGGCACAATTATTTATCTGTATTTGACCAGTCTTCTTGGCAGCATTGGTAGGGTTGATAAAAATTGTTAGATTTCCTGGCATGGACTGAGCTATTCAATAGCCCTGAGGTCGGGGCTGTGGAAAGGACATTACTAACGTTTAATGTTAGCTCTTTTCTTTCATTCAGAAGCCAGTGTTAATGTGTGTTTGGGATCATTGAGCTGTTCGAACACCGTGCCATGTTTTAATTTCAACTGTCTAGTGATTTGAGGTGAAGTGGAAAGGTTTGGAGTTAAGGGAAGGGAAGTCTGAGATTGTCATCATTGTATGCTCCCATACAATGGTGAAATTAGTTCTCTGCATTTAACCCATCACACCTGAGATACACCCAGGTGGAGCAGTGGGCAGCTATGTAAGCACCCGGGGAATTAAATGGGAAATTGAATTAAATGTAAGGCTTTAAGAAATAAGATTCAAAATATTTTTAAGTATTGCAAGAGAATAGTTGTACTGAGTGCACATGATCTGACATGAGTTCGCTAACTAACAATATTTGTCATCTAATCCCATGCATTGTAGGTGGAGTTGCAAAACAAGCCCCTAGTCAGCTGGTTCTTGTCTGTCATGGACAAAAACTGAGTTCTGCCTTAGAAAACAAATGACTCATGTCCGCTCTAGGTCTTCTTCCTCTTTGACGCTTAGAAATAGATCTTAATCTGCTTACAAACAAACTGAGAAAAGGCAAAACATGTTGTTTCAAAAATGTAAATAGCTTGTATCCTCTGGGGAGCTGTAAAAACAACCAAAATAAAAAATACAACAAGAATCACTCACAACAATTTTCTATTATCCTCTCTTTCATCTACTTTGTGCAATGACACTGACAGCCAAACAGTACCATACCATAATGTTACTACCACCATGTTTGAAAGTCTTATCTTGGCTTGTCTAGGTTCCTCTTGCAAATGGGATATTGATCTCAGTGGGGTTTTAAATCTGGTCAAATAAAGGAAATTAAATTAAATAAAGCTGCAATTTTTCATTCAAGCTTGATGGTTTCAGTTTTGGAGCAGGATCTTTATTTTTGGTCAGCACTCAGAGCAATGTAAACTAGCCTTACTGTGGAGTGACCTCCAGCAGCTTCCTGTTCATGACAGGCTTGAGCCTTGGTGGTTCCTGGGTTGTTCCTCAACATCCTAACTAATTTCATTTCATCTGAGAATGGCAGATGAGTACTGGTTAATCTAGCAAGTGCTGTCAAATGAATTATTTTTATGCTGGCAAAGAGAAACTACCAGCTGCAGTCAATCATGATTACACTACTGACAACAAGTTAACAGACCTTGGTCTTGTCAGGTTTTAGGACATTAGGACATTCAGCAACACTTGTGAGAAGATTTAGACAAAACTATGTCTATATTAGAGCCTGTAAGTATACTGTACTTTACGCCGTATAAGTCACACCACTGTATAAGACGCATCGTCCAAATATGTCTAATAAAGTGGAAAAACCGTAAATATGTCGCTTCGCCGTATAAGTTGCATCTATTCGTCACCGCTGACGCGATGCGTTTGTTATGTGTCACCGCTGACCACCCGGAAACCTGTGCCGGTGTTGTGCCAAAAATCGATTGGCTGCCAAATGGCAGCCATGAGAGCATGCACGGGAGGACTTTAACAAGAATTTAACAAGATTATCACTTAAAACAATTGTTTGTTTGCTCAAAGTTATAGTAAAGGTGTGTCTCAATTGAACTTTTCCGTAATTTCTTCTTTTTTTTTTTTTTTTTTTTTTAACCTTTATTTATCCAGGTAGTCTCATTGAGCCACGAGAACTCATTTTCAAGAGAGACCTGTTTTAGGGAGCAGATGGTGGGAGTTAAAGGTCTTGCTCAGGGGCCCAGAGTGGGGCAAATGAGGGTGGAGGGAGGTGTGGGTGTTCCACCTTTTCCACCCACATTTTTTTTATGTTGACGGTACCGGGAGGTGAACCTGCGACTTTCCCATCACAGGCCCAACTTCTAACTAGGGATGCACCGATCCACTTTTTTTTTTTTTCCAGATCTGATCCCGATACCTAAATTTAAATATCGTCCGATACCAATCCAGTTCCGATATCATCATCATCATTGATTTTATATGAGGCTGTAATAATCTCCTCTCAAGTACAATTTGTACAAATATATGCATCCATGTCCAAAAAGGCAACTTGAGGTAAGTTTTATTAATGTTGGATACGTTTTAAAGTTAGAATTAAATTCTGCTAACATGAAACATGTTTCTTTTTATTCCTAGCTTTAAAGTGGATATTAAAGTGATTAATTTAAGTGATTGTTTAAAGCTATTTTATATTTTTTAAATAAGTGGCAGATATACGATTTTTCTTCTTTCTGCACTGTTTTCATTCAATGTTTTCTTTTTGATGAATTTGTTTTGTTTCTTTTAAATGAATGAATAAATGAAATGATTAAGATAAAATGTTAAATGGCTTCAAACATCTGCTAAGTTCATGGCATAAACCAACAGACATGTTCCTGCTTTTAGT